GTAGATTTCAAGTTATAATATATGGCTTCCAGGATTTACCTAATTCATCTAATAATAATATAGAAGTGTATGGACTCTTCACCGAATAATATAAGGAAGTTGTGAGCAGGACAAGAGGCATGCATAACGACATGAGAAATTTGCACAAAAATGTGATTGGAAGGCCCAGTGGGAGGAGACCATTCAGAAGATCCAGGCACAGATGGGAGAGTAATATATTACAATGGATGTTAAGGAAACTGTTGGAGAGTCTGAATTATATTCATCTTAGTATAGGGACTTGGTAAGCCCTTGAAAGCATGGTAGTGAACGTTTGGCTTCCATAACAGGCAGGGAACATCCCAAGTAATTCAGCATACTATCAGCTTCTCAAGAACTGACTGTGTTCCATGGAGTTAGTTGCTTTCAATTAACTGCATGCCCTCACATTAGCAAGAATTACAGGTAAACCTCGATTTACGCCGTGGATGCGTTCCTGGACGAACCGGCGTAAATGGAAACTCTTTATTATGTAAATCAGTGGGAAGTCAATGACATGCGTTCCCAGCACCTAAACATTGACGAGTAATATAAATGGCATTACATTTAAAGTTCTGAAATAACGTAAATAAGATAAAAGGAATTTAAAAAATATATTTTATACACTTACAATCGGCAATTCGTTGGTCCCCGCGATTGACTCTAATTCTTTCATGTGATTGATGTGTACAGTCATCTCTGCTGTTATGCGATAGTTGCATTCATGTAAGACGCCGACCTATAGAAAATCTCGTAGTAAAAATAACCCCGGTACCTCCGCAGAGATTAAATTCGCCCTTTGAAAGTTTAAAGCGCCAGGAATTAAACTGCATAGGCGATAGTCTGAGTTCCCTCAAATAAAGAGAGTTAGGCGATTATGTGTAGGAGTATGCATATATGTAACCAGAGCATCAAAAATATAATTAGTTCACCTAAGATTTTAAATAATTTCCTTTTTCATAACTTATTCAGCTTCTTGTTTTATTATTATTTAAGCAAGTTGAAATCTGTTGTCTGAGGATTCCACAGCTGTGAAGACGTCAACGATAATCTTCTGGTTGCGATCCCGTGGTTACCGACGTTTCAGGGAAACTAACACCATCATCTTGCGGGTAAAAGTAATGAGATATGGAGGCGATACGTTTCTATAAAAAGTTGTTCATTACCTACGCTAACCACAGAGCCTGACGTTCCAGAAGTCTAGAATAATGATTTTTAATTTAACTTCCTCGTTTGAATCGTTAAATATATTCATGCAAAACATGCATGCTGAAATTCAAGCATTTGGTAAAAATGTTTTAATAAAAATATACCCAAGAAAACGGGAGCCATGGACTTAAACTAGTATGTGGAAAAATTAAACGCTGGCGTCCATTCACTTATTAAAGCACCCAAAAATAACATTTTAGAGACCGATTTGGATTTCTGAATAAAACAATGAAAATAATGTTTAAGGGCGCATATAGTGAAGATTAGCACACTACTAAACAGCATCAAGATGCGGTAAAATGTCGGATTCTCCAGCGATGTTGACAAAGAAACGTATTCCGTAACAAAGAATTTCTTAAATGTCTGAAGATCTATTAATTTTACGTGAAATACGCCCATCTTGTACTGGAAAGTTCGTTTATAGCAGAGTTATATTAACTCTGATAAAATACCATAATTTCTCTTCTTAACTTTGCCTAAAATTTATTTAAAATATAATTTCTTTACTCCCCTTTTAAACTATATAGAATTTTTTTATCCTTCCCCAAGTAACTTTCCTTCCGCGTGTGAAAGTATAGTAATTCAACTGTTTTTTTTTTGCCTGAGTGTAAGGACGTTCAAACAAGGCCTCAGGCCACTCAGCGCAAACAAGTATTTTGACAAGTTTTCACACAGGTTACATCTGTAATTTAAGTTATATTCCGAAACCGTAAAATACAACACATCAGTGGTTTTTAATACATGTTTTATAACTGCTTTCATAATCTGCTTTACAGAAAACAACTTTCTGCAGCAAATTATTTTCTTCCGCTGCCTGAAACTGATTTCAGGTACTAAGAGAAAATAGTAGTTGTATCGAAGTTATCCCCGCTGACCAAAATATTCTGCAAATTTTCTTAGTTTTGTAATGTAATCAGAATTCCCTCTGGGTTTTGAATTGCGAATCGCCTGCAGTATGTGATCCTGTTAACAAAGAAAAGCTATGTTAGGGAAGCACTATAGTAATAGGACTTTGAATACGTACCACAGGAGATGGTAGGGTAATTAGAAGGGAAGAGAATTTGGGAGACATGCAGATAGATGGGAGGACAATATTAAGAAGGCTCTTCATGAAACGTACTCAGAGTCCAGTGGCAACCTCCTATGAACATTGTAATAAATTTGTGGGTTCCATATGCCAGCATGTAACTAGTTAACAGACTATTTATTACCTTCTCAAGAAGGCCTGTGCTACAAGGACGATCAATGGATCATGCCATGCACCACTTGAATCCAATGCGTACCCTCACACACTAATTCTCTTATTCCCCTCATGTGCATTATATGTGACAACCACCTTGCACTTCTTAATTTAATAACCTTAACAACAGTACATGAAGAGAATGAATTATGAATCTCTCATTATGTACTTTTTCCAATCCTTTGTCACTTCATCCCCCCTAGCTCAAAATAACATCCTCAGGAGTTCGTTCTCAAACACTCTCAATCCGCATTCCTAATATAAGGTAACACCAAATTTCACACATAAAGAACAGGCTAAATAATGCTTTTAGGTACATCTTTATAAGGAAAATGGGAAGATAACAGAATCTATACCGAACAGTAGCAGGCATTTCTGTAAATTATTCTGCCTTTTGTAGCATCATGAATATTACTTCGGTTTGTTAGCAGGATTTCCAGTTTCATCAGGTCTTGTATTTATGAAGATGGCTGTGTTCTGGGTTCCTGCTTTACAGAGTCTGGTAGAAGTTTACCAACTGAAATGTCAGTAACCTTCTACCAGGCTATATGTCGCAGCAACCCAGAAGACAGCCATCTTCAGACTCACTGCTGTGAAAACCTCAAATCCTACTTTGTATTCATGTTTGACTTCATGATTATTTTTAGCTCAGGTAATTTCCCTGCCATTCCAATTGTTTTATATCACACAAAATATATAATTCCATTTCAATTTCCAAGGTTTTGAACCACTTCTATTCTCGACCACTGCCTCCTGTGATGAGTTAGTCGCCATCTTGTATCATTTTTGTTTCCAATGTGGATATTTGCAAGTTGGCCATTATTCAAGCTGTACCTGCTACTTGAACTGCAGTTATATTTAAATTTTCTGTTAAAAATATATTAAAAATTTACCGTCAATCACAATTATAATAATGTTAAAAGATTAAAACATCATTTAATGTTCCTCATCGAGTATTCGATTACATAGGAACTTACACGACTAGTTTCGGCTACAATTTAGCCATCAACGGGTGT